CGCGAGCAACATCGATTTGATATGGGCTTCGCGCTGGCCATGGAGCGCGATGGACGGTGCGCTGAGGACGGATTCGGTGAGGGGTGTGGCCAGCGACATAGAGAAGATCGTAAACAGTAATGGGAATTGATGTTTCGCATAGACGAGCCATTTTACGACGAACCCATGGTTTTCGATGATGAGCCACTTTACAACGAACCGTCAGTTTTTGATGAGGATCCTCCTGGGCTGGAGGATTTCATTGTGTATGTAATTCTGCTTACAATAACACCAACAAAGACTGTAACCAACCTTATTGGGGAGTGAGTGTGCATGTCATGGGCGTATGTCCTGCTCGAATCCCAGCCGAGGATTTTTCACTTTAGAAGCTGGTAGATACAATTTTTTGTATGCTACATTATGAGGTTAAGCAAAGTGCAATTGAACTGGCACAAACAATGGAAGATGACGATGGGGTGACTCTGACACTTCAAGTTATTGACCATTCAGGTGGTGTTGAATTTTTTAGTTTTATGATGCCCGGGGGTGTTTGGGTTGGATGTCGGGGTCCTATGTTGTGTGGGTCGGCTAGAGTGGATGTTGGGAGACATTCAACTTTCGTGATCGATAGGGGGAAACATCGGACGATGATTGCCATGGGTACAACTCCGGTGTCGGCACGTTTGTGCTGCTTCGCGGGCGAAGTCTTCCGGAGCGGACGAGAATGATGCGGGTAGTTTGATAAATATTATTATTATTATTATTATTATTATTATTATTATTATTATTATTATTATTATTATTATTATTATTATTATTATTATTATTATTTAGTAGAATGGTGAACAAGTTAGGTTTAGGGCTTTAGGAGTCTTATTTAAAAGACTCCTTCTTCTTTGTTATTGGGGAATTTGATTATTGAATGAAAATATGATTTGATTGTAAGTTTTATCGAGAGAGTATCTCGTTTATCTTTCTCACTCGTACTCTTCCCTACATCAATTATTGAACAAGATTTTGAGTTTTTATTTAAATAATATTAAAATAAAACGAGTAAAATTAATATGCTGGAAAAAACTGAGAGAATTTATTGGAAATAATATGTGGTTAAAATACGTGAATCGATGAATAAGTCAATTAAAATTGATGTGATGTGTAAGATGATTGATAGATATTGATTATTTATATTCATGATATTAAGAAAGATTTTGTTGGATTAAATTTGATTTGGATTTTGATTTACAAATCTCAAAAAAAATATTGGATGAGTGGCATGTAAACAATTTTACTTTTTGCTTAAACAGTTTGACTTACTTATAAAGAAAAAAATTGAATGAACTTTAAAATTGTCTTTCATTTTTAAAATTGTAAGCTTAAATATTTTCTTAATTTTTTAGCTACTTATCGTGTGTTAGTTTTTTGATTAATTGTTGCCCCACATCGGATGTATATCAAAGATGTGTAGGATCTTTTTAGTATAAATAGGTTCCTTTCCTTTGGGTTACAATTGCACCTTATTCTATTCTCTCCTATTTAGAAGGAAGTCCTTAATTAAGGAAATCCTAATTTGTGGGTTATATAACCCTAGTTCTATTTTGCTGGTGAGTTTAGTAAATTTGGCGTTGTGGTTGGCGGTGCCCCGAGACGTAGGCTATTTTCGCCGAACTCCGTCATCAATTTTTGTGTTCTTTTATTTCTTGTCTTTAATTTGTATTGGCTTATTTTGGAGTAGTGCTTGCCATATTTGTTGGAGGGGTATTTTTGTCCGCTGCGCTTGTTGTGATACCCCAACAAGTGGTATCAGAGTCGAAGGTTTGTCCCAGGCTCATTCGGAGAGGCGAGCACCGCATTTGGGTTCGAGATATCCAAGGAGGTCAACGGCGCATCATCTTCGACATTCATTCCGGCAAGGACGGTGACGCC